GTTAGAAGATGATGATACAGTTTCACCAACAAATCAACAGCAGGAAGGTTCTGATAAAGCTCAAGAAATAGCACAACCTCATCTACGAAAACGACAGGTACCAGAATCGGATTCAGACCATCCAAATTCAGCAAAATCTACTGCTTCCCCACCGAATCAGGTAGATACCACACCATCAGAACCTTCTGAATCACAGCAAGCTTCAGCGTACAGTGGAAAGTATCAAATCGTCGGTACTGGTATGAACAAATGTATGCAACAACTTGCAATATCACTTGCTGGTGAAGCTCTGACTCAGTATGTTTCCTAATTTGTAAAACATCTCCTGAGAATAAATGAAGTAGATGAATCATTACTAAACATTTTTTGCCTGAGTTACTGTAACTAAAAAATTGCATATTTAGGAGTAGTTTTAGCTAATAACAAATAAAAAAGATCACATGCGATGACCAAATTATATAAATTTTGAAAATAAAAGCATTTTAATTTCTGCAGTCATTTTCCAGAATTATGCAAAATTATGCAAATGAAATATGGCAGGAGGCCGTTTAAAGTAAATGAATAAGTATATAAATTTGTTATTGTTTTCAGATTTGAATAATAAATTAAATGCCATTTTCAGATTCCAAAATAATTTAATGCTCGTTTCACGGCATGTAATGATGAATTTTGAGCAACGATTTGGACAAGTTTGGCATTGCATAGTTAGTGAAGGCAATTTGGGATTCTATATGCGTTATGATCCCGAAAATCATATTTATTTTACTTTTGAGAAGTACACTTTTTTCCTCTACAAAGTTTATCAAATTTGAATGAATTTCGCTTACTAATATTACTGAACTATTTTTGAACGCAATTATGAGTTTACTGGTTTTTTATAACTAACAATTCAGTTTTGCTTAAACTGTCGCATATTAATTGAAGAATGGAATTTGAAATTTAAAAAAGAATTGAGTAAGATGAAGTAGCATTGTTAGCAAGATTCAAACAGAGATTTTGATTAACTGTAATATTATTTATGATTAATTAATTTAATACTTGTAATTTAAAAAAATTAAAAGTGTGTGTCGTTCTATCCTAACAGTAAGTGGTGAATAATTTCTTGTAATTTTATGACTTGCAGTTACAGTGTCCAACACGACTGTATATTTTGCTCTTTTCGTTATTTTAATTT